TTAATAAAGTTATATTTTCAACCCTCTCTTATTTACAACATCTAATCTGACTTCACTGGGTGTATGGGCCTCATTGCCAAAATCTTCCAAAACCAAGGAAAAGAAAAAAAAAAATCATTTAAAGTCATACGCAAATTATTCAATTATTCTGTTCCAATAATTTTACTATCTAGGCATAACTTAAAATAGGGTTTAGAGAAGTTTAGTGTTTAGCACACTTATCTAAAAAGAACAATATCCCTTTTAAAAGGAACATGCGTGGAAATATTAATAACCGTAGAAGTACAAGGTCTTAAATCACTGTTTTATGGGTTTTAATACCTTACTCCGCAGGAACTTTATGGTCTTTCCATAAAGACTTTTCATATTATATATATAAAAAAGTGGTGTTTCTGGAACTCATGAAAAGTGGGCATATAAAATCTGTCCTGAAGGAAGAGCTTAAATAATTATGTGCATTGAGTGAGAGATGGAAACCCAGTCTCAATGCAGGGAGACAGAAAGGCTCAGGCAGCACTCATGCATCCTTAGGGAACGTGGTAGATGGGCTAAGAGCTGCCCAGATTTTTTTTCAAAACCAGCGTATTCCCAGATGTTACTAAATTTTGAGGGAAAAGGTATTAATGGGTCTTAACAAATAATTGAAACAATTTAATGAAGTAGAAACAATTCCAAAGAACCATATTAAGTAGATTTCCTTGAGAAAAAATAAAAACAAAAACAAAAACAAACAAACAAAAAAAACAAATAGCCAGTATTAAGATCTCTCAAACTTGTGAACCCACTATACTCACAAAGGTATAGAAATAACCTCAGTAGGCCGGGCACAGTGGCTTACGCCTGTAATCCCAGCACTTTGGGAGGCCAAGGCGGGAGGATCACTTGAGGTCAGGAGTTTAAGACCAGCCTGGCCAACATGGTGAAACTCCATCTCTACTAAAAATACCAAAATTAGCTGGGCGCAGTGGCAATTGCCTGTAATCTCAGCTACTCGGGAAGCTGAGGTAGGAGAATCACTTGAACCTGGGAGGCAGAGGTTGCCGTGAGCTAATACCATGCCACTGCACTCCAGCCTGGGCAACAGAGTGAGACTGTGTCTCAAAAATAAATAAATAAATAAATAAATAAATAACCTCAGTAAAGTACGGTTCTGGTCTGTCTAAACAAATGTTTGTAAATAATCTTCAAATGAAGAGGTAAACGTAAAAGGAAATAGAGTACATATAGTTATATTTGGAGCAAATATGAATATAATGAAGATCCTCATATCCTCAGAGACAGCCACTGACTTATAAGAGAACATTTGTGAAAATATATGCATATTTCTAGAATTTTCAACCTGTTGGTATAATAGCAAGCAAAGGAATAGTACCACAATTTAGGAACATACATATATTAGGAAAAAAATGCCCTTGAGAAGATGGGAACTCTTTCCTGTAAGTGAATAAAATGAGTAGCCTTCTTGTTTTGCACTAGTTAACCTTTATTTTAGTTTAAATAAATGTTTTAAGCATAGGAATTTGCTATAATATCATTGGGGAACAACCCACAAACCTTTTTTTTTTTTTTACAAGATCTCATTTTTATCACTCTATGAAGTATGTGATTACCATCTTAGAAACTGTCTAGAGAAGATAGAGGAGAGAAGAGATAGCTGAAGGTTGCAGTGCAAATGTTAAATCCTGTGATGAATGGACTTTGCTCATCATTTGACACAGAGGCTGTAACATAGGTGAACTAACTGCACAATAGCTTCTGTGGTGGTATTTTCCATGTGTAATATTTTCTTTTCATTTGAATTTTTCATAAAGGTTAACACCTTTTGTTAATTTTTTTTATACCAGCACCTTAGTCTCTGAAACTATTAGACTCGGTTGCCTTACTTTCCTTTTCCTCTGTCACCTCTAGTCAATGACTTGGATAATTGGTTTGGCTGCCCATTTTGAGAAAGCATATAACAATCTGAACGCTGCTATTCTCTCTGGGTTTAGAATGACTGGTGTTTTAAATGAGCATCTTAAAATTGTATATAATAAACACGTTTCTTGAAAAGAAAGTTAGAGCAACTCTAAAGAGCTGAAAGATTTGCAAGGATTGTTGTTGTCTTTTACATCAGTGAAATTATTGTTTGGAAAATTGTAACAAAATATATAGAAACATAATGAAAAATAATGGCAGTTGAACAAAAGTAAAAGTAATAGTTCGTACTTCTTGAAAGTTTCCATATTAAGGGATTTTATTTCACTTTTCATTTATTCAGTAATACGAAAATAATAAAAAGTATACACTACATTCTGAAGTTCCTCTTCTCCTTTGTATGACTTTTCTATTTCTTCTTCCTCCCATGCACCATCCTCAACGCACTGAGCTCAAGAAGTCTGAAAGATCTTATAAAGTAGGAAGGAAACTTTTATCACTTTGCTCTATCCTCTTTTTAAGTATTCTTAAAATGTTTTATAGAATATACAAACTTTTTATAAAATAGCTCTTTGAGGTTTTAATGACAAGCCTGACTTGCCCTTTTCCCATCTCCAACCTCAGCTGAGTCCAGTGTAGTAGTTGAGCTTGGACAGACCCAAGGGAGAGAGAACAAATTATACTCAATTGCTACTTGTCTGTTTTGTTCAGGGCTTCGTTACTAAGTCCAGCTTATCATGCCTGAATCCTTCCTTCTTGATTGGGAATTCTTTCGTAGGAGGCTCCACGGTGGCTTAAGCAGGACTGTCTCTACCTTCTCACCATACCTGGTGGGATCTCAGATATTGGGTCCCTCCTGTGCCTCTAATCTTAGAGTTAAATGATCCCTTAGATTCTTCTGATTTAGTCTTGGATTTCGTATTTTGCATGAATAGCTAACATAAATGATAACCAGACGACCCACAAGGAAGTTTGATTGAGTGGTAAAGTCTTTCTGAAATTGTTATGACAGCTTTTATAAATGGGTAGAAAATGAGTGCTTGAAGATATCAGATGTGATCTACTACTTGAAGAAGGTAATGGACTTTGAATATTTTGGGGCACTTAGGAATGGTAAAGTTTTTTCAGTGGTGATGGCTGTTTAAAGAAAAGTTACAAGAACATAAATGCAATTATAAAACTGGAAAATGTCTTTGGAAATTGAACCAGTTTCAACTTACATAGTTAACCACCCAGAATATTTGGAGCACCGTACCCTTGTATGCAGCAGAGAATAAAATGAGACGGCAGTCAGTGCAAATACCACTCCTAGTCTCTATCAGGAACAGGAGAAAGCAAAATTATTCTTTAGTGTTTTTGCACACCCCAAATCACTTTTTCTTCCCTCACCCTCATGCCAAAGGATCCAAATACATTATATGATGATATGATTTGCGTGTGTGTGTGTGTGTGTGACAAGAGCCCTACCATAAACTTGTCATCTTTAGGCAATACCTCCATGCTGTGATGCCATCATTCTATTCTGTACCCTATTAAAAATAGCCTTCTGCAAACTGACCATGATGGAAATTTGTATCTCTCCTAGATATGTTTGTTTTGTAATGGTAGACCATAGTTTAGCTTAAAGGAACCCTGCTGTTGGAAGTTTGAATATTAGGTTTAGGTTAATGGGGTAATATGTAGGCAGAATTAATTATGCGCTCATAATTCACCAAATTACATGAAAGTAAGTACACACTGCAAATGGGGCCTATATGTCTGTAAAAGAAAATCAATATAATGTATTAAGAAGAATGTGAGACTTGGAGTCTTGGCTCAACAATTCCCAGTGTATGATATTGGACAAGTCTCCATTATCTCGGTAAATAAAACAGGTTAATAATACCTACTTCTCTGGATTTATTCATGAAGAAAAATGAAATCATGTAGGTTTAGGTCTTTTATGAGCTGTTAAGTGCTATATTCAGAATGGAGCAGTAGTGGGAATATAAGCTTCTGTATTCATACACACATGTGTTTACAAAAATTCTACGTTAGGCACAAAGTCACTTTATAAAATAATATGTATATATAAATATTTTTACATAAACTCCATCTTCTACAAAAGTGTCTGTGTTTCCATTATGGTTTATAACAGTAGTCCTAGAAATGTTTAGTTTATGCCATTTAAGGTAGAGTGGTAGAATTGTTTGGTAGAGTTTCAAGGGACTAGACATAAAGAGGACAAGTATTTTTATCACTTTATGACTTTTAATTTCTTCTGTAATATGGTTGTACCTTCTTTTTTATTTTTTAAATTTAATCTTAATTTTTCTTTTTTTATTATTATACTTTAAGTACTGGGGTACATGTGCAGAACGTGCAGGTTTGTTACATAGGTATACACATGCCACGGTGGTTTGCTGCACCCATCAATCAGTTATCTACATTAGGTATTTCTCCTAATGATATCCCTCCCCTAGCCCCCAACCCTGAACAGACCCTGATGTGTGATGGTCCCTTCCCTGTGTCCATGTGTTCTCGTTGTTCAATTCTCACTTATGACTGAGAACATGTAGTGTTTGGTTTTCTGTTCCTGTGTTAGTTTGCTGAGAATGATGGTTTCCAGCTTCATCCATGTCCCTGCAAAGGACATGAACTCATCTTTTTTTATGGCTGCATAGTATTCTATTGTGTATATGTGTCACATTTTCTTTATCCAGTCTATCATTGATGGGCATTTGAGTTAATTCCAAGTCTTTGAGGATAAGTATTTTTTAACTTAAAGTATAATAATAATAAATAAATTTTAAAAAAAATTTTGTATTCCAGTTGCCTTAGTCTTTCTCTCCTGTGATCAATGAGTTTGATTTCAAGCCATTTATATATAGATGAGTCTGTTCTGTGCACATAAATAATGTTATGGTAAAGAAGAAAACTATACAAGCACATTTCTGTAGGGCAATAGTGATATTTTCATTGTGAAACAGGATGGGACAGAGAGAAAACACAAAAGATGTAGGAATGACAATAATCTGCATTCTCTCAAGAAGCAAACCAAACATTTTAACCATACCAATCTTTATTATTGTTATTAATTGTAGATGGGGCACACTGAGAGGAGCACAAGGGAGGAAAGAAAAATTTTGGGTATGTATCTCTTTCCAGTTGAATTCTTGCTCTGAAGTGAATATGTTTGAATCTTCTGTTCCTCTGCCTGCTTTGTATTATTTAGTCACATCCTCAGTTGTGTAATAGTGTTGATAACATCAGTGTTTTCACCAGCACAAAACTCATTATAAACATTTATATTGTATTTATAGTTTTCCTCAACTCCTAGTATTTCAAATTGTAAAAGAAAAATCAGTGTTTATTTTTCTTCAAGTTGAGAATCAACATGGTAACTTTTTGTTCTATTATCTTCTACATTAAACTTAAAGTATTGATTAAACTTCCCTCATATATATTTATATGGCAAGGAACTTGATGCTTTTGTTATGTTAGTATATATATCCTATAGGTTAAGGCTTTTTTTTTTTCTTTTTGCCAATTATAACATACACATGTGTCTTTACTCAGAAAGAACCAATATCCAGTCTCAAAATAACAGAAAGTTTCAGGCAAGAAACTATTTGAAGAAGATTGGAACATATTATATCAAATATTCGGTTTATTACAACAAGTTGGTCAATTGTCCAAAGTCCTAATATTATGTACCTTTTTATACAGATAGAATAAAGTCTAGATGGTAATGCTTACCATGGAATTTAAATTTAAATGTACACACTAGAGGGCATATTTTGGCTTACAAAACACTAGGTGCTAGAACTTGTACTCATCAGAATGACTCTTGGTATATTTTTTCATAAGGCACTCACAGAATTCAATCACCCAATTGTGTGTTCATACCTTATATTTGTGTTGTTGATATATGGAGGTATTATGCTTTTAAGTAGAAGGGTTCTTCTTTATAGTTAAACTGAGCTTTTAAAAATTAATTTTTCTCATTAAAATAAAATAATGAGTAGCCAACAATCAACATTAATGTCCAATAGTTAAAATAAATAAGTTATATACTAGGATATGTTATTTGAATACCTATTATTAAGTTGCTGCATAGGATTTTTATTAAATAAATTTGAACAGTTATTTAATCTCATAACAATGTAATATTTAGAGACAAAATCAAGTTCTTTGATTAATGTATTTAACTCACAACAGTTCTTAGCATATAGCACTTGATGGCCATTTGCTGAGTGAATATGAACGAATGTGCAGAGGAAAACATTTTATGACCCTTTCATCCTCAACCTGATCATTCCCACCCTAGAGCCATACCTCTAGGTAGTGTACATGTGTACACACACACACACTCACTAAGTATGATTATGTACTCACTCATTTTCATATATTTAACACATACATGCACACTATCCCTTTTAAGTACATTGTTGTACTTACTGTCAATTCTGAATTTACTACTTATCAAACATCTTCAAAGAAAATTTTATTTCATGGGGCTAGGGGTAAGATTTCTTTCTGCTATGATTTGTTTGATAAACTGTTGAACGTGAGCAGTAGAAATACAATAATCAGACTAAAATTTATAATATTTTGCACATTAATTGAAGCTTTTTCTCTACTAAACTGTGTTCTCCTCATGAGTCCGGATCATATTTGACTTATTTACCAATGTATGTCAAGGGTAAAGTATTGTGATTGGTACATAGTGAGAATATAAACAATACTCACTGAATGAGCAAATGAATAACTTTATGCATTCAGGAAAAACTAATCAAGTAATTAAAATAATTTTATTTTTTATAAAACATACTAGTGGTTTAATTAAAATATGAAATATTTAAGTACTGTTGTACCGTTTTGTAAAGAATTGTGAAAGGTCTGAGATATTATCCCACAGATATAGATGATATAGATATAGTTATAGATATAGACGTAGCTAGAGATATAACACCTGGGTCAGAAGTAAAGAGTTCTTAACAGATACTCATAACTAGATCGACAACCAGAGTAATATAGCAGCATGCATCCCCCACACCTTAGTCCTACAGTGATGTGATAAGAGTCAATAAAATTTGTCTACACAGGTAGCAGTTTATATCTCATAAATGAGGGACAAGGAACAATAGATTTTCTCCATTTGTTTACAGGAGAGAGACAAGCAGATTCCTCCTTTCCCAACAGGAAGGAAAAATCTTTCATTCCATTATGTTGAGTTGAAGAGGATCCTATGTTCTCACTATAAACTTTAGGAACATAAACATATCTTTCCAAGGGCCAGATTAACAGCAGATAAAGTCTCCAGATGATGGGCTGCATATCTTTTGAGATGTAAATACCGAAGTAGATAACATCCCCATACTTCTGCCACCTTAGAATTTACTTTAGGACCTTGTCTCTGCTCTCTTTGAACCTCTAGAAGAGATAAGAGAAGTTTTGTTATCCCTTCAGATCAGATCATTAAACTAAATGAACGGCTACATATCTAATTCTCAAGGTATGAGAAGAGTAGAATATTTTTAGGAGAAGTGAAAGAAAACATTCCCTATCTTTATATTATATACAATGTTTTGTCGGTCAGGGAAGCAGAAACTTTATTCAAGAGCACTGAGAAATCTAGGAAAGTTTTATTTCTTCACAATTATATATGGATGTTTCAAAGTATTTACAAATAGTCCTATGACATAAATCTATTTTTATAATAAAAATATTGGATGTCTTTCACTACTAAGTAAAATATAATACATAGCAGCAAGCCACAGATTCTACTACATAAGTAGAAAATATCAAGATTTTTCCAAAATTTTGTTTTTAAAAAAATGAGAGTGCTAAATCTGGAGAAAATTTTTTGGCCTAGGAGTGTTTGGTAGGTTTGGGCATAAAGTGAGGACTGGGTTTGTAATAGGCATGCTATGATTTGTTTGAGTTAAATGAGACAAGTGAAGCACAAAGATGTGACCAGCAACCAAGGGAAAAATATTATCAATAGAAGCAATAGATGATACTTTAGATGCAGGCTTTAAAATAACCATTATTTTAAAAAATTAAGAAAAATCTAGATGGAGAATTTCAATCTATAATTAGTTCAACCATTGTGAAAGAGTGTGGCAATTCCTCAAGAATCTAGAACCAGAAATAACATTTGACCCAGCAATCTCATTACTGGGTATACACCCAAAGGATTATAAATCATTTCACTATAAAGACACATGCACACACAGGTTTATTGCAGCACTGTCCACAATAGCGAACACTTGGAACCAATCCATATGCTCATCAATGATAGACTGGATAAAGAAAATGTGGCACATATGTACTATAGAATACTATGCAGCCATAAAAAAAAATGAGTTTATGTACTTGGCAGGGACATGAATGAAGCTGGAAACCATCATTCTCAGCAAACTAACACAGGAACAGAAAAACAAACACTGCATGTTCTCACTCATAAGTGAGAGTTGAACAATGAGAACACATGGACACAGGGAGGGGAATATCACACACTGAGGTCTGTTCGGGGGTGGGGGACTAGGAGAGGGATAGCATTAGGAGAAATACCTAATGTAGATGACGGTCGATGGGTGCAGCCAACCACCGTGGCACGTGTATACCTATGTAACAAACTTGTACATTCTGCACATGTATCCCAGAACTGAAATTATAATAAAAAATGAGTTCCTGAATTCATGAATGCAAACATGGCAAGAAAATCACACTCAAACATTTCATGATCAAACAGCTGAAGATAAAAAAACATAAATTTAAAAACAGGCACTATTTAAAATGACACATTACTCTCAAAAAAAGCAGCACTGACTGACAGCTGGCATTTCAACAACAACAATATAAAAGGAAAGTAGAAGACTACAAAATGGCATCGTTAAAGTGCTGGATAAAATAATAATATTGATAATGATGATGAAGATAATGTGCCAACATGGAATTTTATGCATGGTGACATTTTTCTTCAAAATAAATACAAAATTAAGACATTTTTAGACAAACAGAAGCTCAAATAACACAGTTTCAAAAAAAACATACACCAAAAGTTACAGAAAAAAAGTAGGCAAATATTTAAACATGTCTCAGTATCTCATAGAAATAGCAGCTAAAAATAAGTAAAGGTATGAAAGATTGAAAAAAACTATTAGCCAGCTTTATGTCATTGAAATTCATAGATTATTACATATAAATATTCATGAATATACATTCTTTTTAAGTACACATGAAATTATTTGCCAATATTGACCACATACTGGTCCATAGCGCACATTCAATAAATTTAAATAATTGAAATTGTACAGAATATACTACAATGAAACTTTTGTTATTAGGTAAAGCGGCACTGAATGTAATAGTAAATGCATGCATTGAAAAAGAAGAAAGGTTGAAATTCATGCACGTATTTTTTAAAATGTTGAAAAGAATAATTCAATAAGCTGAAAAATTTAAACCAAAGATAAAATGAAAGAAATAATAAACAGAAGAGCAAAAAAAAAAAAGTAAAAGAAAACAGACATATTATAATATATGAAAATCAACAAAACAAAGAGTTGATTCTTTGCAAAGAAAGATTAAATGTCTAGGAAGACCGAAAAAGAAACGAGGAGAGACAAATTACTATAGAAATGAAAAAAGAGAACGTTGCTGCAGATTCAATAGATATTAAGTAGGTAATAAGAGGATATTATTAAAAAGTTATACCATTATAAATGAAAATATAGATGAAATTGATAAATTTATCAGAAAACAAAACTTATCAAAAACCCACACAGTATGAAAATATCCTAAACAGTTATGGAGCAATTTGAAAAATAATTGAACCTATTTAAATTATTCTCACAGAGGAACTCAGGCTCAAAAGGCTTCACTGGTGAATTTTTCCAAACATTTAAGGAATAAATGAAACGAATTTTACAACAAATCCTTTCAGGTAATAGGAATTAAGGAACAGTTACTTCCAAACTCATTTTATGAAGCGGTAACACCAATACCAAAACTTGTTTGAGACGAGACAAAAAAGAAAAATTATAGGCTAATATCTCTCATGAGCATAAAATTCCAAACAAAATATTACAATTAAGAAATATATAAAAGGGATAACACTCCATAAGTGAAACTTACATTGGGAATGCAAGGTTGGTTTCAAGTACTAAAATCAACCAATATAGTTCATCAAATTATGAGAGTTAAGGAGAAAAAAAACACATGAATATCCTTTTTTTTTTTTTTTTTAGACGGAGCTCCCTCTGTTGCCCAGGCTGGAGTGCAGTGGTGTGATCTCGGCTTACTGCATCCTCTGCCTCCCGGGTTCAAGCAGTTCTCCCTACCTCAGCCTCCCGAGTGGCTGGGAATACAGACACCTGCCACCACACCTGGCTAATTTTTGTATTTTTGGTAGAGACTGATTTCACCATGTTGTCCAGGCTGGTCTTAAACTCCTGACTTCCGGTGATCCACCCACCTCTGCCTCCCAAAGTGCTGGGATTACAGACTTGAGCCACCGAACCCGGCTTGAATATCTTAATTGGTGCAGAAAATGCATTGATAAAATTCAGCACTTAACTGTTCTATTAATGTGTAACAAACTATCACAGATTTAGCAGATTGAAACAACATACATTTATTATCGCAGTGTTTCTGTGGGTCAGAAATCTAGCGAACCCAGCTGGATCCTCTGCTCATGATCTCACAAGGATGCCATCAAAGTGTTGTCTGAGTTGTGTTCCTTTCTGGAGCTTACGACCCTCTTCTAGGCTCACGTGGTTGTTGGTAGACTTGTTTTTTTGGTTGTAGGTCCAAGTCCCCGTTTTCTTGCTGACTGAGGATATTCTCAGATCTTAGACGATGCCTGAAATTCCATCCATGTGGCTCCCTCACACAGAGTTTTACAGATCCTCTCTCAACAGAGTACCTTACATCTTCAAGACCATTAGGGAAAACAAAATTTCTGACTTCTAAATCTGCTTTTAAGGGGCTCCGTGAGCCATATTTGGTTCAGGAGCCATGGTTTACCAATGCATAGGTCACAGAAACTTTATATACATATGAAAAAAAAAAAACAAACAAACAACAAAACCCTAGATCCCTTTGTTACTAAATACAGACAAAAACAATTTGAGATGGAGCAGAGACCTAAATGTCATTGCAAAATAATACAGTTTCTCAAAGAAAACATAGACAAATACGTTTTGTGATATCCATTAGAAAACGCTTTCTTAAATCGGGCACAAAGTCAACTTTTTAAGAATGAATTATCAGACTACATTAAAATAAGAACAACTATTTAAAAGACAATATTATAAGAAAAAGAAAAATGTATCTATAACTATGTATCTGGAAAGGTATCTGACAAGTCCTCACATATATAATACATAGACATTCTTACAAATATATAGGAAGACCAAGGTAACTCAATAAAACAAAACTCTTAAACAGAAACTTCAGAAAAAGGGGATATCCAAATGGCCTGAACAGGCATGTGAAAAGGTGGTCAATGTTACTAATTATCAAGGAAATGCAAATTAAGACCACAATGAAATATCACTTCATATACACTAAGTGAGCTAAAATTAAAAGGATTGATAATATCCAGCATAGATCAAGATTTGGAATAAATAGAATCTTACACTACTGATACATGTGTAAATGGAGCAGCTACTTATGTTCATCATGTTTATCACCAGGAGAGTGAATAAACTGTGGTATAATCACACAATGAAAATAAACAGTAATAAGATGAATTAATTTCTTACATATGCCAAACATAGATGAATCCCAGAAACATTATTTTGAGCTAAAAAAGTCAACCTCAATATATTTTGCATTATTCCATTGTTGTAAAGATCAATTATAGGAAAAGCTGATGGGGAGGGGAGGGTGGATGGATGTTGACAGGAAGGCAACATGGTGGACCTTCTGGGGTGCTATAAATGGTTAATATCTTAATCTAAGTGGAGACTACATGAACATAAACTTCATCAACACATGTATAAATTTACTAAATTGTATACTTAAGATTAATACACTTTACACATGTGACTGTGTCATGTATGTCAATACAAAAGATAAAAAGTTAAATCTTTAGAAATTTTCTTCCCTGCATTGCAATCATTTCCTTTATAATGAAATACAAACAAATGTAGGCATTTGGAAGAAACAAACAAAATAAATGCTGAAATAGAAGAAATGAGATTAGGAAGATGCAAACCTATGGTTGGCTCTCATTAGCACATAAATTCATATTTGCTTATACAATCTTTATATACCTTTCCCGTATTTACCAAGAATGTAATTATGAAATTTTGGATAGTAATAATCTTCAGACATTCCAATGAGAATGGGTATGGTGTTATATATCATATTTGCAAGAATTTGCAAATATTACTATTCCTAGCCATTTGTTAGGTTGTGACTAATTTTATTTGATATATAGATATAGATAAATGAACTGACTAAAAAATATGAAAATTGGCATTTAGTGTATTTCACTGGTGCTAGAACTCTTACGCACATTGATGCTGTTTCTGTCTCAGCTATTCAAAGTCCATTTCATCTTTGAAATAATAAATTGAATTTATAATTTTAGACATAGTTTTGAGAGTGCTCCTTTAAACTGTCAGGGTTGATTAAGGAGGCAAAGAGCCAAATCTTAAAAAGAAATGCTGATAAAAATTGACTATTTCTTAAGGTTGATGTCATGACAATTTCTGATGCTGAGTCAATCTGCCCCTCTCTTACATTGTAGAAAACAGTGAAAGCTCAATTCGACACCTTATGCCTTGAGAATATTTTCTTAGTCCCAGTGTAAGGTAAATGGGAAGTGAATGTGAGAGCTGTTGAGATGAAGCCGCTAATTTACTGGGCTTTTCTGCTGCATTTAGTTGTGGAACTAACTCCCTTCTGTGTGTCCTTTGGCCTTCATGATATTTTCCATGTACTCCATTGATATTTTAGCTCCATCACACACTTATTCATTCAAGCTTTTAAACCAGGAGTCATTTTGGACTTACTGCAACCATCCAACCATTCTGCATTTTAGAAAGAGGAATTTAAAAACAAATCTAATTCCTGTTGATTTTACTTTTTGAAGATTTCTCAATTATTTTATTTTCCCTTATCCAGTTGAATTATTACAGGAGTCTACTAGCTAGTCACTCTGCCTCTTGTCTCTACCCTCCTAAATCTATCCACTTCATATCATATAGGATAATCTAATCACAGCATGAATTTGCCCACCTTTCTTTCCTGCTGGAATCAACTCAATGGCTTGTCATCATCTTTCCTATTATTGTCTCATTATGGATGTACTTTCCTCCCCTTCCAGCCTCATAACCTACCATTCTGCTTCTGTCTCATGATCTAATTATAACAATTTTATTGCTTCATTTCACTACTTCATGCTATTTCATGCTTTGGTGTTTATGATTTTACTGTTTCCCTTTACTTGAATCTCCCTTCCTCCTTTTATATCTGGTGAATTTATTTTCAGGCTTTAATATGCATCCCATGTGACACTGCTACAACAATGTCTTCCCTGAACCATCCAAGTAAATGAGATGCCCTTTGTCTGACCTCAAAAATACGCTGTACCTATTTCTATCTTAGCACTTGCCTTATGTTGGTCATTCTTCATTAGATTAGAAACTTTCTGAACATAAGTTAATGTGTTATTTGTCTTTGGTCTTCCAGCACCTAGCACAGGCTGTTGTTCACATAGTAGACACTCTATAACTGCAGCTTGCATGACATCTTCTGATGTGGCATTTCAAAAGCTCATGCATATGTTACCTTAGTACTCTGGGAAACTCAGAAGAGTCATATCAATTCTGGCTATTGCCAACGTGCCTGCATATTAGTGTAACTGACACATAATACAACCTTTATTTAAAAGTAGGTAGGTTCTTGATAATTATAGTCTATGGTAAATCAAAGACATTTAAAGTTACAAATGGGTTTCCAATGGCTTTTTTTTTTTTAATACCTAAGTATGTTTCTCAACTTTTTTTGTTTGCTTTTCTGCAGATTGCTGCCAATTCCTGGGGAAAGTCATGGGGAGAGAATGGCTATTTCAGAATTCTTCGAGGAGTAAATGAGTCTGACATTGAAAAGTTGATTATCGCAGCTTGGGGCCAAATGACAAGTTCTGATGAACCATAACGTATCATTAAATTTCCATAAGGCCATGCCTTTAAGTAACCCCCTAAATTGAAGTTTAGCAATATGACATTCTTGGTGACAATGGAATCTTTGTCTCTTCACCGTGTTAACATAATCTATCTATTTTCTTATTTTCCCCCCTGGTCTATGCTTCTGCTTCCTTCATATTACTGAGCATAAAAAACACCAAAAAAGGACAGCAGAGTGCCTAAGTGCCTTTAAAGTTCCCAGGTTGCCTCATTTTTCTGTCATGAGGGTGTCCCTTTTGCCTTTAGTTGTTCACAAACAGTGTGATGGCATCTGTCTTAACAGTTTTTAGCACTCATTTGTAGAAATGGTGTGGTTTCTCTCTTTGATCAATGAGGATCTTAGACAACAAAAAGCAAATTAGAATTTCAGCAATTTGCCATCTTTATAACTTTCTTTTCATCCAAATAACACTTTCTTAGTTCAAGCCTTGCTTATGTTTTGCTTAAGCAGTGGAAATAGATTATAAGTTGTTTATCTCAATAACTTAACATTTTGTTTCCTCTCATTTGCCTAAACCTACCTTGTAATGTATTCACAAAATGAAAAGCAACTCTCCACAGGAAATAACTACTCTCTGCTTTACTCTGCAATGGCCTGTGAGGTGGAGATGTTAAGTAATGGAAAGCTTGGAGGCTAACAATAGAAGTACAGTTCTGACATACACACAGCCCTGTTTTTGGAAGTTGGAATATTTTATGTAAAGTCTATTAATATCAGCTGCAAAACAGTATTTGGAAAGATAACAAAAGATTTACCACCCCAAAACAGCAACATGATGCCATGATTCAGAAAAAATGTATATACACTTTTATCATAAATACACTTTTATCACAATTCACTGCTTGAAATTCTAAAAAGTAAGCTAAATTGGCACTCATTTGCATGTAATTTTTAGTTCTGTATAGTCAGAGAAACAAAAATAGCATCATAGCAATGGTTGAGAAAGGAGATAATCTTTTAATAACTCACTGACATCTTAAATGGAAAACTAATAAACGCAGAAGCAAAGCTGATCAGTAAGTGAACACAATTGATTATAATTACAATGGTGGGCTCTCCATGGCCTGAATTTCTGGTCACTATCATCTTAATTTTGATCATTGGAATATTTGTTCTGTTATTGTGTCCAAAGATACCCTGATTAGAGAAGCTAGACATGATGAAAATGTGAGGGAACGGAGCACAGAAAGGTGAAGTGTTGTTGCAATTGTTGACTTCTTCATTAATCACTGTAGCTTTATCAGAAGCAGCATTTAGTCACTTGGTTCTCCCCTAGAAAATATGCATGAGGGTGAGTCACCTTGTTGGGATTGGCTGACATTTCCCCAAAGAGTTGAGAAATAATTTGTTTTTTTCTCTGTTTGGGGTTCTCTAGAAGTAGCCCATAAGACAAAGTTTTGAGCATGAACAATTTGTTTAGGCCATGGAGAGAACACTGAGAAGGCAGTGAGGAATGATATGGGCTAGTGATGGTGGACAGTAAAGGGTATATTGACCTAGTTCTTATCCCACTGAGGACTCTTTCTACATTCTTCAGATCCATAACACCTGAGGAAAGAAGTGTTCTTTGGTTGAGGACTGTTCCTGGGGTCCATGGATTCCTTGTTCTTTCTAGTCTGGCAAAAGAAGGGGAATAACAGGTTCCAGTATCAGAAAAAACTCACAAGCAAAGAAAGGCAGGTTCTGGTAGTTTGATGTCCACTGAAATGGTACAGGTGAGGTAATGTGGGCAGGGCACCAACAGTGTCTATAGTGGATGTTAAAATACTTTTAAAACGCTTTTAATGCTGCAGACTGCTGAGATAATAAATTCTAATGCACTAAAATGCCAGATGACTAACATGCCTATAAAAAACAAGGGATTACGTTGGTGCCCTTTCACCTTTGTTGTACAAATGGATGATAGATATTGGAATTAATTTTTCACTTTGTGGTTTGTGAGCTTAGGTTCTGCTGTTTCAAAAAGTCCTAACTTTCTAATGACACCAAATGGTGAGGAAATTAAATCCAAAGGGAAAGAAAAAAGAAAAAGAAAATACCACATTAGTAAGACCCATAGGAAAGCACACAGTGTGTTCATCTAGCAATTACAGACCTAAAGAAGATATAGAAACTAGTTGGGACGGAAGTATATCAATGGAATAGGGAAAATATTATTATTGAGGTTTGTTGAATCAGTGTCTTCCCTTGAATAGTGTTATCATTTTTACAACTTTAAAGAGCTTGTTTAGTTTTACTTATTATTCAAGGGCTCCAAGTCAACTTTCAGAAACTAATGATTAGTATATTCCTTGCCCCACCCTAGGGATTGAGTAAACATTTGCAGAATTAATTTAACTGATGCCCAGATGGTTTCCTCCCACAAACTGAAGTATGAAAAACCTTGAAGATAAGGGTGTATGGCCTCCTCTATTTCATGACGTTTGTATGATCTCATTTTATTCTAAATAACAAATAAGCTTCCCCAGTTTTTTAAAAATGAATAATCAAAAATTATCTTAAAAATACATAAAATGCAATGAATTTTATTAGTTGGGGTTCAATCATTAGAAAGGAAACTTCTGTACGTGTTTTGAACAGGAGGAATGTAGTGAAAGAAATTGCTTACCTAGGCAGTGGGGAATCTGGGGGGCAATGAGGAATGGTGAGCCAACCCAGAGCTGAGCAACAGTAGAAAGCTGCCATCACCTCTAGACTGAGGGACAAAGCAAATTCAAAGGTCTGTAACTGGAATCTAGGGGCTGGTGTTATCCCACCAGTAGCTATAAGCATGACTGATGGAAACTGGAGCCATGAAAAGACATGGCGCTGCCAAATTTGCCATCTGAAGCAGAGAGGAAGTTGGAGAAACGTTGTGGCCTCCCCCTCTCTCATGCCGTCCAAATGCTCATCAATACTTCTCATTGGCTGACTCAGCTGAAAGGCAACTGGTATCAGAGGTTCTAAAACTGAGCTGTCAGGGTCAACCCCAACCCTTTACCAGATACACGGGAAAATAGGATAAGGGTGAGGTATAAAGTAAAGGGTAAATGTAGAAAATGAATTTTTGACTCATCTCATGTAGATATTGGAAATTAAAGATTACAAAAAAGAATATTCTATCAAAAGTTGCTTTATAAATAATAGTTTATGGACTTGGCCCCTTAGTTAATGCATATGTCTTAAGTACTATAATGCTTGCTATTACGCATCTCGTTTGGTTAATCTCTCTTGATTTATAGATAATATATCAATCTATGCAAGAAAAGGTATTTTTCCACTTTCTTCACAATAGTTCATCGAGATCTGTCTGAAGTTTACTATCATTGTGAAGTGGCTACGTTGTCTGGGGTAAATACCTGGGGTTTGTTGTCTCGCACTAAGAAAAGTTAGGACATAGACACACATATGAGAAGTTTAAAAGCAGAGGTTTACCAGGCAGAAAAAAGAGAAAGGAGAACAGCGCTCTCTCTGGTGAGAGACGGTGGCTTCCGAAAGGGAAAAGGTCAGCAGGTGGCAGAGTTTTTCACCAGATTTTACAGTCAGGCTTGAGGAGACGGTTTCTGATTTACATAGGGCCTACATATTGGTTTGATCAGGTGTAACGTTTATATAGCATGTGCCGAAGGCTGGCCACCCCATCCTATTTTTTTTTTTTTTTTTTTTCCAGACAGAGTCTTGCTCTGTCTCCCAGGCTGGAGTGCAATGGTGCAATCTTGGCTCACTGCAACCTCCCCCTCCTGGGTTCAAGTGATTCTCCTTCCTCAGTCTCCTGAGTAGCTGGGATTACAGGTGCATACACATGGCTGATAAGAGGGAAAGATGGAGCCATTTTGAACATGATTGGCACAACATCTATGTCTGCAACTCGATTTTATAGGCTGCTCTTTGTTAGAAAGGAAAGTGATTTGGGGCTGCTTTTCATTTAAAGGAAAACCTTACTGAGGACTTCCGTATCCTCACTATGTGCGTAAGTAATTTCTTCTTAACTCCTACATCAATTGCCTATCAAAACAATTATGATAATCTCATCTCAGGACATTTATTTTTCCTTGGGTGGAAGTTGATTTAATTTCAAAGGGAAAAAAGGGAAGGAAAAGAGAGTAGTATCTCACAAACGACCATTTGATGAAATGTGTCAAGAGAGAAGAGCATTAATACCTCAGGTGTCACCATATCAGAAAGGAGACTTCTAAACAACACACAGACATTTCTTTCTCAGAGACGTCAATGAGAAAGGAAAAAAGTATCAGCCCAACACTGTCAAGAATGGAAGATTGAATGAAGGGAAAAGGCTTCTCCATTTCTAGCCAAGAATACTATTGTGATTATTTTGATATTATATGTGATAGAAATGTTTAAAAAGTAATTGATAGGTAAATTCAATAGAGTGAGATTTCTCCTCAAAGACATCACCAGTAAGAGCCCCATTAGTTAGAAAAAAATGGCAAAAACTCTCACCTCTCTATACATCTCCTCTGTATAACCTCCACCCTCTGGCAAGCAGTTTAGCTCCATGCTTCCCAAGTTATTCCGTGAAAGACTTGTTGATATGATTAGACTCTGTGTCCCCACCCAAATCACATCTTGAATTTTAATCCCCATAACTCCCATGTGTCAAGGGTGAGACCAGGTGGAGGTAGCTGAATCATGGAGGTGGTTTCCCCCATGCTATATATATTTTCCCCCATGCTATATATCTATGGTTTTATAGGGAGCTCTCCCCACTTTGCTTGGCACCTCTCCTTCTTGCCATCTTGTGAGGAAGGTGCCTTGCTTTCCCTTCACCTTCTGCCATGATTTCAAGTTTCCTGAGGCCTCCCCAGCCATATGGAACTGTGAGTCAATTAAACCTCTTTCCTTTATAAATTACCCAGTCCCTGCCAGTTCTTTATGAGCAGTATGAAAACAGACTAATACACTTGTCTTCTGAGATCATAAGGGGAAAAATGTCTAGTTATATTGAATTTAAGCTATACATGTTGTATTGTATTCTCTACTTGAAAGATGCACAGTTCACAGGTAGGCTGTTGGGAAATTCGGCAAGTCTAGCACGGCTGGATTTCAGTCCTCACTCACATCAACCATGCATCCTTTGTGGTGGTCACCATGTTCAATTATACACAATGGCTCCACATATGACTGCAGACTCTTTTCTCCTAAAAATTCCCATAACATCACACACTATCTAGTCAATATTATTACATGCCTGCAGGGT